CCCTGCTCGCCCGCTCCTGGACGCCTCACGGCCGTCCCGCCGGGCTCTCGACTCCTTAGAGCCGTAGCCCCAAGTTCTGCGACCAGCAGAGAATGGAAGACGGGAAGCTGAGTGGAAAAGGACTGTGGAGGAAAGGAGAAAGTGGAGAGTGGGAGCGAAAAGAGGAGGGTGGGCACGCCTGAAGAGAAAGGAGAGAAAGAAAAACTGAGGGAGAGCTGAAGGAGGTGAGTGAAGAAAGTCCGAAGTCAGCGCCCAAGTCCCAAAGCACAGCTCGATGACCGGCGCTGGACATAGTGTTAGTGACACTTGAGCCGAGTTACGTGGAACCTGAGCCACCCGGCCTCAAATACGCTAGCTTCTGAACTGTTAAGAGTGTGAGCAAGCAGGTGCTAGGAGCTCCACACCTGAGACTGCCCCTGTCAAGTGTGTAGAAAGCAGTCGGAGAAAGAGCCACACTGCAGTGTCTTTAATACCTATCTAAGCACACACCAGTGGTTTTCTGAGATTATGGTAAAGGAACAATACTCTTTCTTTTCCTTATCGACAAATATTCAGGCCAATTGAATATATACATCTTATACTCAGTCCCCAATTTTCCTTCCTAGCCCGGTGAAAATGTTGAAAAGCGAAAAATAAAGTCCAAACCAACACCTCACTGGGTCAAAGATGTTAATTGTGCTTTGGGGCTTGGGGCAGTGGGTTTTTGGGTTTTGGTTTGTGTTTTTTGGCTTGAGAACAAAGTAATTAGAAATATACCTGTAGTCAGCACAGATCTTACAGGTTAAGTAGGGCAGAAAGTGCACTTAATTGCAGGTTGAAAGTTTTTATTCAGGTATATAATTAGATAGTTCTAGTGTATTCTTTAATTTCTCAATTAAAAGATGCTTGGATGGATAAGGAGACCTATGATTGAGTCAACTCCATCCTAGGCGTCAAAGATGTGGCTAAATAAATAAATAATATCAGTAATAAAATGTTAAAATTTATAGAAATGAACCTGATAGAAAGTATAAGTTGTTTTGCAGTGTGTGTCTACACCATGCCAAAGCATCTAGATAAAGTTAGATATCTGCATATTTGGAAACATCAGAAGACTGGTTGATTTTTGTCACTTTTGATCTAAATGTGTGAGGTCATGCAAATATCTAGGTACTGTTCATTTTGCTCAGGGGAAAAAAGTAAAGTTTATTCATTCAATAAATAGTGAGCCTCTGCTTCATACTACGTGCACAACACTGTACTTACGTTGAAATCCATGGGCTACAGAGGAAATATGCTTCCCATTCTCAGAGAGTTTATGAATTAAGTCAGATCTGCCTGTATAATCAAATAAATAGTTACTATTTATTGAACGGAGCCCTGGTGGTGCAGTGGTTAATCACTCAGCTGTGAACTGAAAGTTCAGCGGTTCGAACCCACCAGCTATTCAGAGGGAGAAAGATGTAGCAGTCTGCTCCCGTAAAGATTACAGCCTTGGAAACCCTATGGGGCAGTTCTACCCTATCCTATAGGGTCACTACGAGTCAGAATTGACTCTGTCGCAATGGGATTCTTTTTTTTTTAATTGAACGCTCTTTTGGTGCCCAGTAGCATGTCTCGTCTCACCCCATAATCCTTCAAAAGAATATATTGTCTCATTTGATTTTCACAGCAACCCTCTGAGGTTGCTCATTTACAGATGAGGAAATGGAGCCTCAAAAGTAACTTGCCCAACATCACACACCTAGAAAGTGACAGAGTCAGGGTTTGAGTACAAACATGTCTAGTTACAAAAACCATGTCATTATGCTATGCTGAGTCTCAATACCAGTATATAATAGGAAGGTTAGTGATGGACATAAGATAGCGACATTAAACTACAGTATGTGGAAGGGAGGTCAAACAAAAATAAGAACTTAGTTTTCATAGAAAGATTGAGAGATATTGAAATAAGTTATCAAGGAAAGTTGAAGAATCTCCTTCCAAAGATATTTTAAGAAATAGATCATCTGTCTGGGACGGTTAGATGCAACCCAAAGACAAAAGAGATGGATTAACCAGTTTGTGATACATGATCTCATCCACGCAAACTTCATCATCACTGTTAGAACTAACCTCACGTTTGAGGCAAATAACAATTCATTGTCAACTACTAGTGGAGTAAAAAAATGCGTTAATATTTTGTCTAGTTGCAGAGCAGAAAGCAAACTTTCTCTTTGTGCTTTTTCTGGGTCTATTTAAAAAAAAAAAAACAGAAAAACTGGTAGGCTATTAGGGTGTTTTGTTTTGTACTTTATTTTTAAGTATCAGAGCCTACCATTTAATTTGTTTGAAACTGAATCAAATATAATATCAAACAATAGGTACTGAGTCACTCCCCACCCCACTAAAAAGTGATCACTTCTAGAGTAGAAAACCAGAGCCATTTAATGACATCACACAGCAGTTTAGCACAGGAAGCAAAGTAGGATACCATGGGTGGCTGATTCTGCTACGGGAATTTAGGAAAGCAGAATGTAATCTCCCGATTTAGAATTTGGCCAGGAGACAAGAGTCTGACGCCCCTACTCTTGTGAAAATAGCAAGGAATCTTTAATAAGCACCAGTAGTCATGTCCTAAGTTCTCCATTTCATCGAAAAGACAAAGCACTATCATGGCTGTTGTACCAGACTAAGGGACCAATGAATGCAATGGGAAACCCAAAGACAAGGGCACCCCAGCTGAATTACAAAAATAATTTTTTCCCTCAAAGATTTTTAATTCCAATTCCAAACCTCACTAGCAAAAGGAAACAAATAAACTCAAATACGATCCTTGCAAAAAAAAAAAAAAAGTCATTACTTGACCACTAGCGGTTACTATGCTTTGCTGCACTAGCTAAAAGGAAGAAAAATCACTATAAACTTTTTCTCTGTGTTAACTTCTCCTGAGTTTGGCTTATCTCCCTGTCTTAGTTATCTAGTGCTGCTACAACAGAGATACCACAAGCGGACGGCTTTCACAAACAAATTTATTTTCTCACAGTTTAGGAGGCTAGAAGTCCAAATTCAGAGGCCAGCTCTAGAAGAAGGCTTTCTCTCTCTATCGGCTCTGGAAGAAAGTCCTTGTCTCTTCAGCTTCTACTTCCTGGTTCCTTGGAGATCTCCATATGTCTTGGCATCTATCTTACCCCATCTCTCTTCTCCTTTCTCTGCTTCACTTGTTTGCTTGTTTAATCTCTTTTATATCTCAAAAGAGATTGACTCAAAATACACCCTACACTAATCCTGTCTTGTTAACATAACAAAGACAACCCATATTATAACCACCAGTTTACAGGCTAGGATTTACAATACATATTTTTGGGGACACAATTCAATCCGTAACACTTCCATACTAACCTTGAGCCTCAAGATACTTTGTAAATCCCCTGGCAGGTGGTGGCTATAGTGGTAATACCTCCTTTTAGCCTTCGTTTTCTTGTTTTAGCCTTGTTTTCTTGCAAAGTCACCAGCATAGAAGTCAACATATTTCATTCAAACATGAATAAAATCCGCAGATCAAATTCTGTGAAAATAGATTGTTTTGCATCTATGGAAAGTGCACAATGCATGGGAAAACTGACCTTGCTCAGGAGGCTCTTGACTTGAAGTGTAAAGGTCAAAGTATGATAGAGCACATATGTTTCTGTCCACTGCTGATACTGTAGTGCAGTGATAAAACCCTCCAGAGGAAACATTAAGGTGCCTTCTGCTCTTTGTAACTGACTGTCAAGCTGGGAGCTAAAGATTCTCTGTTTCTTTTAAATGAAAAAAAAGCAAACGAGCCATAGTTTGTCAAGAAAACACAAATTGTAACTATTTCTGCTTCTGCATCTGCCTCTAAATTGCTATTAACTAACCCGTGTCAAATGCTTTGTTATACAACAACTGTGAAAAACTATTCAAACAAAGGTTATGCCATGATTTACTATGTAGTAAAACTGGAAATTGAATTAAACCCAATAGTTACTGATATTTTATCATTACTTCAATTTATTCTCATGTTTACAACATACTTTTTTTCATTCCAGAAAACAGAAGAATAATTTTAATTTGGTAAGACGGAGAACACTTGTCGTGTTGCAAAAATTTACTTCTTTGGTTTCTAGGTGTGTGTGAGAGATGCGGAACGTTCGTTCATATAGTTCAATTTAAAAAACTGCCATTTATGCCCAAACAAATGTTATTTTTATCCTCTATCATTAAACTTTCTCAACTGTCATCTTTGAACAACTGCAGAATGTAATATTATTAGCTACCACTTTGATCTAACCTTGTACACATATAACACATGGTTCTGGTGGTGGAGGTAGTAGTCAGTTTACTTTTATATTTGAACGAGTATGTGAATAAATACTGAAATTATTTACTTACTTTTCAATTCAGATTGATAAATTAGTTTTTTATTTTCCTGATGACAAAACAGGTTCTTCCTTCCTAAATCCATTCTTTGTCTAATAAACATGTTTTTGAGCCAAAGTACCATGATCTACCTTGGACTTTTATAGTTGTTTCATTTGTATCTTCTACTCAGTTGGAGTGCAAACTAATTGAATGTGGTTTTGCCACCTATTTTCTTGAGACAAGTTACGTTAAATCTTTAATGAGATTTAGATATACGGATATCTATACTGAATGTGGAAACCTTGGTGGCTTAGTGGTTAAGAGCTACAGCTGCTAATCAAAAGGTTGGCAGTTCAAATCCCCCCAGGCGCTCCTTGGAAACCCTACAGGGCAGTTCTGTTCTGTCCTATAGGGTCGTTATGAGTCGGAGTCGACTCGACGGCAACAGTTTTTGGTTTTTGTTTTTTTTAATACTGAATGGGGAAGGATTAACAAATCTAGATAGTTGATTGGCAAGGAAAGTTTTTTAGGGAGGAGATGACCAAA